ACAGCATAATCACTTTTCCATTCGTTGAGTCTGGATGTATGCTTCCATACAGTTACAGTGCCAAGAAGAGAATCAACTGAGATGTAGCAAGCAGATGTCTCCTGGTGCAGTGACTGACTGAACACCAGACATTCCTCTAAGCCGCTAAGGTAGGCTATCAAATACAAAAATCAAGACACGCACATGCACGCACACGCACACGCACATGCACACACACACACAAAAATATGCTTTTGTGCTGTAGCTGGCATTGAAAATGAAATGAAAACCTGAGAATTATTAATTTCTCTCAGGCGTACCCTTGTTGACCTTAGGTGGGTGTTTTTGCACAACTTTATGTGATCATTAGCAAAGCTTTGAAAGTGCATAATTATCCTTGGGGTTCCGCAGAGTTTAAGCTTTGCAGAACAGAAAATATGCAGGCCCACTGTGTGAAGAATTTTCTGTGGATGCTTATTTGGATGCATGACGTGCATTTTAAATAGGCAGGAGATAAACATTTGGCAAATCAGTATGCAAACTTTGCACATTGTGCCTCTTGACATGTCTGACCAGTACTCTCTCACATGGTGCCGATTAACATTAGTGCACTGTGCTATTCAAACTAAATATCATCATGTCGACAATTCAGACTAGAGTTCACTGCAAATGCTTATGCCAAGTGGCCATAAAGGGCACAGTCTTGCTGTAAGTAAGAGTGGGTAAGGATGTGTTTAGCTTTGACACCAGAGGCTCAGGTTAGCTTGCAGTCTCATACCAGCAGTTAAATGTCAATACTGTGATTATCAGTACCTAACTTAAAGTGTTTTGGATGCCTAAACCTAACGATTCTAATGAATGGGAAAGCAGTGACAGTGAACCATTCAAAAATATCACTAGTAATCCAGACGTTTGCAGAATCTTTCATTTTGACAAGTGGGTTGTGATAATTCCCTACGTTCTTGACTTGTAGGTGCAAAAACACATTCTTTTTGCACTGTTAATGAGTGCTTCCCAGTGTCACACCAACCATAGTAGCACGTCATGTTGTGTGCAGAATTACAACAGCCTCGGTGGTAAAGCTCCCCCTTGCCAGCCTGAACCTCTGCCAACCCTAGTATCCCAGCACAGACCAGCTAGCATGGCTATTAGCTGCAGGGCAGGTGAAAAGACGGTTTGGCACCCATTCCTCAGCCTGCAGCCTCTGGGGAAGTGAGACGTAAGGTTTAATTAGAGTGGATATTCTCAGGTTTTGGACAAGTCTAGGAGGCTTTAACTGATGTCAAAAGTGTCTTATGTCATGTCAGCGATACGCACACTACACTGCTTTGATTTCGGGAGGAAAAGTGGGAGGTAGAGAGAGAGAGAGAGAGAGAGAGAGAGAGAGAGAGAGAGAGAGAGAGAGAGAGAGAGAGGTGCATGACCTCTTTCCAAGTGTTTGGTTTTAAGCAAAGACAGAAGACAGAATCAGCAAGTTTCATGACAAGTGAAATGTGAATGACGTAAGAGCGAGTGGGGAAAAAGTGAGCAAAACAAAGAGGAAGGAGTCCGGCACTGACACTAACATTTTCTATAGTCACACATCGTTTTGTGACTGTTGGTGTCATATTCAGTAATCAGCAGATGGGTGAGAATTGTGCCAAGACAGTAATTTGAATGACATACATTGCTTTCATTCCGTTCAATTATCTTTCATGGCAATCACTGCAGTTTCTTAAACAAATTACTGATGGTGATTTTGAGCCTTTGCTTAGCATAATCCAGTTTACTGACAGTATTCTTGTTGATTTCCTTGCATCTCAATTATCTTATGATAAGAAATGTTTACTTATTGTCTAACATCCCACAGGCATTTCTATAACTGAAAATCACTCCTTGGCAAACAGGTGATTGTTTGAAATTCTCACAGTGTCAATTATTCAGTTTTGATAAAGCTGATTATACCTGCCAACTGCTAGGGAAGGTAAATAAACAAATGTGATGTTTTTTTTTTGTGCTCTCACATCAAAACAGATGCACACCCTTCTTCCATAACAACACGTAACAATATTGTAAATAGATCTGATGCTGTGATCAATTTCAAAAACGCTTTCCTGAGAACAAGTACGAAAGGACACAGTAATATGAAAGATTTGGTTCCTTCTGCAGGCACAATTTCCTACTGGGGGGGAATAACGGCATCTTATCTCTCTAGTGAGGCCATTTAAATATAGACTTCTGCTACTTTATCTGTTTCTGTAGCTTCACAGTCTGTTGATACATGATCATAGACTTCCTTTTATGTTTTCATCCTTGAACTTAAAGCGACAGTGACATCAAAATTCTTGTCTTTAACCTTTCGTATAAGACATCAACATTGTAACTCATGCTTTCTGCAGTAACATTAAAGCATCCAGTTAAATATTAATTATTACTGTTACCCACACACTCCAAGTAGTCACAACAGCCCGGCGAACTTTCTGCAGAAACACAACCAGGAAAGGATTTTTCCCATTTCCCCATATTGCCTTCATCTCTCCATTGATGCAATATGGTGTAATCTAGCCCCCCCTGACTGAGCAGTGGAATACACACCTCCGACTCTGCAGATATTTAATACAGGACTGCGCTATACATTATAAATGGCCCTTTGCAATATACGTAGCCACTGCGCAAACAGAGAAAATAGAAATGACCTGCCCTTGAAATTCCGCTGGGGTTTGGAAGTTCTATTTCTTTCTGTCCATACAATATGAGAAACAAAATACAGGCATTCATTACACACTGAAATAAACAGATAACCTTCTTCTAAGTTTAGAGAGGTTGTAACGTACAGGAGGCAACAACAACTCAAGAAGTGCAGAGTGTTGACAAACGAACCAAAGCAAATAGACACAAAAAAATCAAATTGCGACACAAGAGGATGCATATGAGAGTTAAGTGCAAAGATCACAGGTTTTTATCAAATAATACCCAACATGGCTGTAGGCTGGTATGCTGCTTTGAGTGTGTGCGTGTGCGTGTGCGTGCATGTGTGACAAGCAGAGAGGGCAGAGTGCTGCTGAGAGTGATGAGATGCGATGAGACACAGTTTGAGTGAGTGCATACTAGCAGGAGGGAGAGAGAGGTAGAGTGTGTGACAGTGCATAAGAGAGCTTTTTTTTGCAGTTGAAGCAAATTGAGGCCACTAACGCAGCAGTTAGGCTGCTTTTCAGGTCACTCAAAAAGCTGTGCTAAAAGGGTAGCTAGACCTAAATCCATTGTTAATTTGATGGAATGAAAGACACTGCAACCTACTAAAGGATCCAAGCATGTTGTAGTACATCAAGTGACTACAACTTGTCTCATGTCATCCATACAGTGGGGCAGCACTCGAGTTAATTTGATTAAACGGTTGGGAAAAATACTATTGATTTATCTTGACTGTTAGCCCTGGCTGAGCACCGCAGGATCTGGAAATACAGCTTCCTGTAAAGTGCCAAACAGAGAGAGCCAAATTCTTCTGATTATTCATGACATTCAGTTTACAGTTTGCCATCGTGTTTGGTCAACATTTTTGCAGACATCTCCTCATATACTCAGTATTGTGAGCTGGCCCCGCTCAACCATGCTGTGGGAAAGTGACTGCTGAGTGGACAGAGCTGGATGGGTGATTCATTGGAGTTTGTGGAGTAATTGACCTTGTAAATACAGGACTGGGAGTCTGAGCTAAATCATCATCTCTGGAAGCAGGCTAAATGTTAGGATGCTCCAGTGAGCACTTGACAGCCATTTCCCTTTTTTTTTAATCACTCGAAAGACCCCCAAATTTATCATTGTTTATAGAAAACTAACTTTCCATTTCGTCATAAAACAGATGCCAGTTTTGCTTGTCTCAATTCTCTGTGTAACAAACAGTGAAAATAACAAACCCTACTTCATTCATGATTGTGAAGAGTGTCTGGTCTGGAGTGTTTTTACCCAATGAAATGATGCCTCTTCATGTTTACCAGTGAACAGAGACATAACAAGTCTTTCTCAGGGCCACCTGACATTGTGGTGGAGCGCAAGCTCCTATTTCTCAAATCTGCAGACATTACTTTGATAGGCAATGTTTAGCATACTGCATAGCTGTAAAATACAATAAACTATAAGGACAGCTTCTTATTATTAAACAAATTACAGCTTCCTCATGAAAAGAACTATATACACTAAAAAGAAAGACCCTAACCATATAGGAAAATTTAGGAAAATCATTAATACACTGTCTCCACTGTGTCGGTGACAATGTGACAGTAAATAGGGAACTCCGGACACCATATCATCATTCAAAATGCCAATAGGAAAAGTGCTTTTTAAAGATTTTTCATTATGGTACAGTAGCTTTCAAACTCATATTAACTCCTACTTCCTCATCCTATCTTTAATTTACCTTTACATGCAGGAAACTAATCCTGTAGTCTGTGATTAGCATGTCATTAACCAAATCTGACAAGCCTCAAATGTCAGCCGGCCAGTAGCCTACCACCCTACCACCCAAGACTCCAAACCTCCATTACGCATTTCTTTACCTGTCAAAATGATACTGCTGAGAAAACCGCGGAGGAGGAGCTGCATCATTTCAGACACACACCACAACATCACACAGACAGATCGCCCACTGTTGTTTTGTTCATCCACATAGACACCGGCAGACCCACGTCCTACGAGAGTGCCTGAGAAATGTTCAAGACATAGCCTATAGCTTGTATTATCTTTAAAACCTGCAAAGGCGCAGCGTAAACACTGAGTCCAAAAGAGCGTTTGAATCAGCATGAGTCACCTCCCCACCCACTTTGGACGAAATGTTCACTCCTGTCTGACAGATTTTTAGTTAATATGTAAAACAGACATAGCTGCATACAGAGGGCGATGTGCAGGCTGCGAGACACAAACGTCAACCAGCAATTCAACAGTTTTGGTCTCTGTAGAGCCTCTGTGTGTGTGTGTGTGTGTGTGTGTGTGTGTGTGTGTGTGTGTGTGTGTGTGTGTGTGTGTGTGTGTGTGTGTGTGTGTTTTCTTACCTTGGGGTGAGCACGCCTCCTGAAAATTGGAGAGGACGACTTGGAGGATTTATCCCTGTTTTGTCCGTAACTTCCCGAGCAGGGCATCTGTTTTTGAAGACGTGTTGATAGAGTAGGAGAAGAAGAAGAAGAAGAAGAAGGCGAAGTAGAAGAAGACACTAGCAAGCGTCGCTGTGATGAGCAGCAGCGGCGGCGTTTCCCGGTATTTGTCCTTTGACGCCTTATTCGTCCGGTGAGTTTGTGTGTCTCCGGCGGAGGGGGAAGAAGCAAAACCCCCGGTCCACGCTGGTCTCCATTACCGAGCTCTGTGTTCACCTCTTCGTTTAGAGACGACAGACAGATACATGAGCAGGCAGACGGACGGAGAGGCAGACGGGTAGGTAGGTAGATAGAGAGGAGCACTGCCTCTGTCCGTCAGACTGCCAGGCGAGCCGGGATAGATACTGAGACACTGCTGCAACCCACCGACAAACTCCACAGAGAGCGTGAGAGAGAGAGAGAGAGAGAGAGAGAGAGAGAGATGGCAAATCACAAGTGAAAGGCTTCAGTGTATTTAGGCAACCAGTCATTCACTTTCAGATATTTGTGTTCACTTGTACTGAGATCCGTTCATTCCCACTGAGCTTGCAAATTGCACAGCTAACCATCTTGTAAACTGTGTTGCTGCGTTTTAAAAAATTTGGATGTATTTTGTCTCCTGTACCTGGCATCCACTGGCTTCCATTCCCCTCTATCTGACTTGACAATAAATTAGCTAATGCTTGAAATTTGCTTGAGTTGTGTAATCCATCACAGTAAACATCAAGTCTGTATTAAAGGGTTAATTAGGCAGTTTACTTCTATTAAGATTGGGGACTTTTTAAAATAAGGATCAAAACTGAAGCAACAGAGGCCAGTTACTCTATGGGTCAAGAAAAGAAAGACTGTATCCCACAATTACCATAATGAAACCAAAAGCCTAACATCATCTCATTGTAGCCTTCTTGCCTGGTAAATGACCATGGCTGTGTCCGAGATAAGTCCCTCATTGACTACTTCACCCGCACTACTACTTATATAATAGACGCTCAGTAGTTTACTCTATGGTGAGCAGTAAATTGAGATTTTAGATGCTTACACTCAGCATTTGGACACACACTATGGCAGACAGTAAATATATGTATATGTGCACTATATAGTAAATAAGGAATGATTTCGGACATAGTCCGTGTTCTGTTATAAATTTCTGGTCTCCAGGCTCAAACTGAAATAACCCTAACAACATCATCAGGGTTATTTCTCTCAGACTTTTAAGTTCAGGGCCACAGAGCACATTATACATCTGTTTTCACAGACTGAACAGTGTAAGATAACCTTTACTGCTGCTTTATTTTTGATCAAATTTGCATTATCATTATGAATCTGAACATTACCATATGCTTTAATGATAATATGACTTGTGACAAAATGACATAAATTCAAATGAATGCACATTTGAACTTCACTGTGATGGATTACACAACATAAGCTTGTTTCAAGATACTGAACAGAAATGAATGGAAACCAACGGCTGCCTGGAAATGTAGGAAAAAATGCATGAAAATATGTAAAAATGAACATGCATTAAAAATGTTAAGCAAAAATGCAACACGATTTATTGTTAAAGAAACAAAATGATGAAATGCCACTGAGATGAGTTTATCCCTGAAAAAGAGAAGAGTATCTATAAATGTTTTTATAATTTACCTCACTTGCAACATCATGGGTATTGCTTTGGCAACCTTAAGATCATTTCCAGCAAAGCCAATACAGCATATATGGAATGAAGTCAACTGAGAAAGAGAGAGAGAAAAAATATGTGAGTCCAGTTTTTTTCTGCAAGATGTGTTGATTGTTGTCTCACATTAAGGGAGACGGGCAACCATAATGAATACAAAATAACACTGCAGATCTGCCCATCTGTTCTTATCAGACTGCTCTTTCTGTGCAGGGAATGTAATTCATTTTGTCACCCTCTGCTTAAGCACTATATGGAGTCTGCATGTCCTGTCAATAAAGCTCAAACTTAGGGAAACTGAAACCGAGTCAAAGGCTGAGATATGAAATGGATTCAGGACCATGGATAGCTCACTGTGTTTCCAAACTAGGCCAAACACTTTGCGCTTGTTCCTGCCGTCACCTCTTTTATCATGTCAGTCAATCTAAATTCATCTTGAAACGGACTAAAGATATGAGATTAGTGTAATTGCACTATAACAAAATTAATGCATCCACAAACTACTAAGACAGAACACACATGAAGCATACATCTGAAAAAGACAGGAAAGCATATGAAGTGTGGTGAGACATCAAACAAGATTTGGTCCAGCTAATGCAGCAGGAGGACCACAGGGTTATTGTTTTATTATAGGCCTGCTTCCACCTGTCACATTTGATCGCTCTCATAGCCGGGAGGTGAAGGCCAGCTAGAAAATACAAGTATTCCTGAAAATGTCAACATTTACCTTGATGTACTATAAAG